GAAAAGAATTAATGTTCTGACTTGCTGCATACTGTACTGACTGGATTGGAATTGGACCATGATAATACCTGACTTTTTGAGGTTTAGAGAAATTATTATTTTTTTTTGGTATCAGGGATTGAACTTGGGTCCTTGCAGTTATGAGGCAAGCGGCGGAACCACTAAGCTAAATCCCTGCCCCTAGAGCAATTATTTTTATAGAATTATTTTTCCCAAGTCTTCATATTCAACAGACTCTTGCAACTGTTCCCTTTTGACTGCTGGCTGAAAGCAGTCTGCATCTCCAGAATTTCCATCCATGCAGCCGGGCTCACCATTTGGTTCATTTTGTGCTCCTTGTTTCCTGAGATCTCCTACCAGATCCATGGCATTGTGGTGGTTAAACCTTTTGATGATGGCAGCATTACTATTCTCTTCAATGGATTTAGAATTAGAAGTAGAGGGCACAAAGGAAACCCCTCGTCTAGTGGTTTATCTTCCAAAGCTGTCAAATTTAGTAGTGGGTTTTTTATTCCTCATGAAATCATTGTTTTTAACTTTTTTGGTCTATTTTGGCACATTCTGCAAAGAGATCCTTTGACCTTGTTGTCAGACCCCCACTCAGGCAGATAAAAATTTTCCCAGGCAGCGCCAGTTAGATTCTGCAAGGTACAAAAGATAGCAGGAAGCTAAGTCCCAGCTTCCAGATAAACAGCCTGCTCCTGGCAGCAACACCTGTGGGTCCAGACACCTCTGGAGATCACCAGACTTCCTCCACCCCAGAACAAAAGACTTCCTCCACTCCAAGACAAAAATTTTCCACTCCTCCCAGCACTACTCCCTCCCCTACCCAAACTCCCCTATAAAGTTTTCTCTAACCTAAGCCCCTGGGGTCAATGGTCTTGTTGCCTTTCACTCGCCGGCACCCAGGCTGGAAGTATAACCTCGCTAGTTGCTTCATTTCTTGCCTGCGCCAGGGGTCTTGGTCATGGCTCAGTTTAGTCTAACACTTGTATTCAGCCGGTCCCTTTGAAAATAATGGGACTGGAAAAAAAAATCCACAATTCCTTTTCTGTCATGTTGTAAAGAACATATTCTGCATATTTCATTTTTACTGCTGGATAGGTCCTTAATATACTTCATGATGTCCAAAGTTAAATTATATCTCAAACCATTACAGCCATCTCTTTGGGGCTGGACATCAGCAAGAAATCCTGCAGAAATCAACCTCCTGCTTGTGATTGGATGTGGAAGAACTACCCTTTGCATTCACATTTAAACAATCAGCCCAGAAGTACCACTGATCTCCTGACTCACAAAAAGGTCTTTATAAAGTTGCAACAGAACAGGATTGTCTTAGTTACTTTTCTCTTATTGCTGAGAGAAAATACTCAACACCTGAAGTTAAAGGGGAAAGGTTTATTTACTTCATTCTGTAGAAATTTCAGTCTGGCTCCAAGGCAGAGCAACACATGGCACAGGGGCAATAGTTCATGGTGGACAGATGGTAGCAAAGCAGCAAGGGAACTCAACAGCATCTTTCTGCCTCTTTGGTCTTATGCAGACTACTCAGGGTGGGTAGCACTCACATCCTTAATCCTAGTGCCCTTGGGCCTAGCATGGCACCATGAATCAATCACACACCTCTGAATCAGCCACCTCTGAAAAACAACTACATGAGGTTCTATCTACATGAGGCTCTATCTACATGAGGCTTTAGGGGGACATCTAGACACAAGCCATAACATTCCACCCCTGACCTCCCAAAAACCAATGTACATTCCTTTATGCAAAAGGCATTTAGTCCATTTCTAAGAGTTGCCAAAGTCCGAACAGTTTCAGCATTTCTAAAAAGTCCAAGTCCAAAGTCTCCTCTGAGATTTAAAGCAAACTCCTAGCTACAAGCCCCTATATAAATGAAAAAGTTAAACACCCAGTATTCATTGGCACAAGATAGACATTTATTTTCCAAAAGTTACAAACAGAAGGATGCAAAGGCAAAGGAATGGGACCAAAGCAAGACTAAAATCCAGCAGGGCAAACATTAAATCCCACAATTCCACTCCCAGCATCCCTGGCAATCTGTGGGAAGTTGTGAACTCCAAAGCCCTTGAGCCACATGGCCAGGTAATGTCACGGCAATGACCTCACTTCTCTGGTACCAAATTTCTGTGTTAGTTATTTTTCTCTTGCTGAGACAAAATACCCGACACCCAAAGTTAGAGGGGAAGGGGTTTATTTGGCTTACAGTTTGTAGAGGTTTCAGTCCATAATCAGCTGGCTCCAAGGCAGGGATGGCAAACAAGCATCACAGAGGAGAAACAACATGGCATGCACAAGGTAGCAAAGGTAACAAGAGAGCTTAACAGCATCTTTCTGCCCCTTTTATCTTATTCAGACTACCAGGAATAGGGGAGTACCAAATTAATCACTCACATGTAGTAATTTAGTAATCACATGCCCTTAAACTCAGCATCACACAGTCCAGATTTAACTACGCTGAAAAAGAAAGTCCCACCTCATCCGCATGAGGGTTTAGGGGGACAAAAGAATAGGGGATGCATATTTCTGCAGGAGGACAGATGTGTAAGCCTCCAGTAGAGAGGACAGGGGATGTGTAGACCTAGTGTACAGAGGACAGGACCTGTTTATGGCTAAAGTAGAGAGAATAAAGGATGCATATGCCTGCAGTAGGAGGGCAGTGGATGTGTAACTCTGCAACGTAGACTCTAGGCACTGTGTAGACTTTCAGTAGAGGACAGAGAATGAGCATACCTACAGCAGAGAGGACAGGGATGCATATCACTACAGTAGAGAGGAGGATGCTGGTGGGGGATGGGTATGTCTGCTAGAGAGAGGACAGGGATTGTATATCCCTGCACAAAACAGGGGATCTGTAAACCTGCAAGAAAGGACAAGTGTGCATATTTCTACAGTAGGAGGAAAAGGGATGCATATACCTGCAGTAGAACAGGGGATACCTATGCCTGAAATAGAGGGCAGACGGGTGTGCCTGCCATACAGAGGACAGAAGATGTGTATGCCTGCAGATAGTTGATTTCCAGCATATAACAATATCATGTAAACTTTGTTACTCCTTCAGAGTGGTGTATTTAATAGACTTTGGGAAATAAGTCAATGTTGCTCTTTTGGGAAGAACTCTATTTGGTCAGTGCACAATAAAACCCTGAATTTGAGTAACTTGTTCAGCAAGTGTTCCACAGGACAAGCAAACATCTCTCTCTTCTCCTCTCCTTTCCTCTTCTTCCCTTCCCTCCTCCACCTTCCCCACCCTCGAGATTGTGGATGATCATCTCCCAACATTAAGAGGTTATGGAGGAGATCTTGTGGGCAGAGGAGGAGAAAAAGACAAAGGAATCTCTCACTTCAAATGAGATTAGGGAGGTGTGTAAAATTTTGTAGAAAAGCACCACCTGAGTAAAGCTGTAGCAGTGCAATCGATGGATCTATTTAATGACAATGCAATCAATGTCACATTTCCATGAAATTTTAAAAACAGGCAAAAGTGAGTGTCATTGGATAGGTTCCTTGTTAAAGTTGCATGAAAAGAAAGATTCCATTGAGCTGATACCAGTGATCCTCCTCTCTGGTCTCCCTCACACCAGCTACAAAAATTTTTAGTTAAGTGCAGGTTGTCTATTTTTCTTTATATTTTGAATCTTTATTACTTTGTATTATATTACAATACTATAATTATTTTATACTGATATTTGGGGGTTATGCAATGAATCATGAGTTTCATTATTTCTTAAGGGGAAATTTGCTTTGATATAAAAGTGCTTTGGAGTACAAGCATATTTCCAGGATGAATTATGCTAGCAAACCAAAGTTTTACTATATATCATTTTCCCTTTCCTATACTGCCAGATTCTGTTTGCTAATATTTTGGTGAGGATTCTTGAATGTATGCTTCTGAGTCAATGCTTTATATGAAAGGGCATGAAAGAACTTTCCAGAATGTTGTCATTGAGGTGCCAAGTTACATGGCTGCACATTTCTCAAAACTTCTCAAACTCTATAGTTAAAAGCTGTGCTTCTCAGATGGGTGTGGTAGTGCACACCTGTAAGCCCAGAACTCTCCGAGGCTAAGGCAGTAGAATCACAAATTTGAGCCCAGCCTGGGCAATTAAATCCTGTCTCAAAACAAAAAATAAAAAGGGCTAGGGATGTAACTCAGTGTGAAAGTTTGGGTTCCTTCCCCAGTGTGTGAGAGTGTATGTGTGGGTGGGGGGAGCTATGTTTCTTTTTGTTGTCAAATTATATCTCAATAAAATTCCCAAAAAATTCTCCTTAAAAACAATGTATTACTGGGCAAAATAACAAGATATCCGGGATTTTTTTTTTTTAAAGTCCTGAAGCAGAAGAAGAACAAGTTCTTCCCAGCCTTGGGCAGTTCCCCCCTTCTATGATCAAGCCCCCCCACACACACACAGGGTCAACCCCCCCCCCTCCCCCCAGCTGTAACTCCTTGTTCTGACATTGGCAACTATGTCCTGTTCACAAGGAACAAAACTGTCATCATGTGAGACGTGACTAAACTTGCTTTTTGTTTCCTTCTGTTACCTCACTTGCCCACCTCCCCAGTTTCACGTCACTAGAAAGACCACCCCTCCTTTCGACCAAATGTATAAAACTGAAACTTTTCCGTTTTTCTGAGCTCTTCTTTTGGACAAGTCAATTGAGCTGTTGTTCACCTAAAACCTGAAATAAGTCCTCCTGAATCCCGTTGGTCTTTCCTATTTCTTGGAATTCTGCAACACTCCAGCACATAAAAAGAATGAAGGGATAATAACACTAAGAGTTTTTACAATACCAAGATAACAGAAGAAGAGTTAACCAAGTTATTAATTCTATTCTTAGCTTTACTTTCAAATTTAAACATAACCGAGTCCAGCAAAATTAGCTACCCTGGGAGCGCTGGCCGCAGGCCAGCCGCAGGACCACGCTCTCGCTTTGGACAGGAGCGCCGCGCGCCGGAACTCGCTGGAAATCACCGGAAATCACCTCGAGGCGGCGCTCGGCACCGGTGAGGCCCAGGGTGAGGCGGTCAAGATAGACCGCTGGAGAGGCCGAAAGAGACACCGAAGGCCAGCGGGGGATACAGGGACTGGAGGCTGCTCTCGTGGGGCCAGAGGGAACCGTGGTCTTCCTCCGTGGGCGGCGACCCCCACCGACGCGACGAGACAGGAGCAGCCACAAGTCTAGACCACAATTTGAACACCCTGCCAGGCGCACGCGCGATGTGAAACAGATTCCGGAGTCTCGCGGGATCTTCCCGTTCTCAGCCTCTCAGGTACGCGGTAGCTGGCGGGAGTTCCAGAGAGGCCACGGCGGACTAGCTCAGCGGCCGGCGGCTCTTTGCTGCTGCGCTGGGTCAGCTGGCCTTGCTGGCGGTCTACATTTTCTCCCGCAGCCTCACGCCTGCGCAAGTGGCACAGCGGGCCGTGGCCGGGCACTTGGGCCATGGGGTTGACCCGCGTGAGGGCCGTGTTCTTCGACCTGGACAACACACTCATCGACACGGCCGGAGCGAGCCGGAGGGGCATGTCAGAGGTAATGGCCCGCCCTGCGCGCTCTCGTCCTCGTTTCCCTGCGCCCCAGTCTCGCGGGGCTGGTTGTGCGCGAACCGGCGGACCTCGCCCCAGGGTTATCGGTCCGGGCCCTGGCCCCGGGAACCCTGCCCCAGGGACCCCTCCCGATGTCTCGGCCTTCGGCGTCCCCGCGGCGCGGCCTCGGTGGCTGTGAGACTCGGCCTAGGGCCACGCGCTCTTGACCCCGGACTTGGCATTTGTTATAAGGAAACCCCCGGAGGTCTGTCCTTACTGTTCCTGCGGGTGCCCCTAGGCTTTCTCTGCTTTTTTTCCCCTCTACCTTCAGCTTCCAGGAGAGATGGAAGAATTCTTAGATGTGGAAAAACCATTTTCCAAAGCCAGTCATCGACTCCCAAGTGCCCGGTGCTTCTTGCTTCATCAGATAGCTTTTTTAATTTATTCTTTT